TGCCTGTGTGTGTGTGTGTTTCTTGTGTAAGCTGAAAGACGCGAAAAATTATTGAAATATCTATTGCTCCAAGGGTTCAGGGGATCTCGTAGTCGAGCAGTCTCGACTAGAGCTTTCTTACTTGTTTCATTTATATTTATTTACTTTTTGTTGGTTTTATTCATAAATATTGAATTTCTTTAATAACAATACCACGTGATGTGTAAAATTTTCTCTAAGATAATTTAAATATTCACGTTTTTCTTTACTCCCTTTTAATACATAAACGCAAGTTATTCATTTATTGCGAGTATTCCTTGTATGGTCGGCAAATGGCTTTGAGGTTACAAGGAAGATCGAATTTTGTGCAATGGATTTTTACATATATATACTTTAAATAAACGCTCATTTACATGAGTCTTTAATTATTGTTATAAAATAAATAAATAACACTATATAATTGCCATGTTGCGTGGAAGATAAGGAAGTAAAATACAAATTAGTGGAGAGAGGGGGATATAACAAAGTTATGAGTAAGTGAGAGGACACTGCCTCATTATCATTGTCCGTTATAGTGTGCTAAATCCTAAACTAGACGCACCTTGGTGCTGGGGTAGCGACACCATCTCAAATGGCAATTATTATTGTGATGCTGTCTCTGATTTTGCTGCTCCTGGTGAGGATTGGTGGCGGCATACCTTCCCAAAGGCGTTGCGCATATTCAATGTATTATACAGAAGACTTTACAGATAAGGTATTAATAGTATTAGCTGCCTCTTGGCCTGTCGTCTCGAGCACAGAACTGCCAATAATTAGGAATGAAGGTTTGCGCGATCTTTGGCTCGTCGTTTAGCCAACATCGAGAGCTCAACAGGACCCACGTTCGCTGCTTGCGGAATGGCAATAGCACGAAAAGTTGCATCCACAGCACCTCGAAGCGCCATTGAAATGTGGTTATGCTGCTGTTGTTGTGCCCCCAATGACAATTGCCGTGCAGCGCAGTTACCGATGGTTGCATTTTGTGAATATTCTGTAAGCTTTACATTGCCAGCAAATTGGTCCCGCACCCAACTGTGTTCAATGATCTGTGCCACCGTTGGCCGATTCTCAGGCACAATGTGCAGCATCTGACGCAACAGATCTTTAGCTGGGGCACTAATTAGTGACCATCGAGTGCTGCTAAAATCAATATGTCCTGATCCAATTCGCTTCAGTATTACATCCGGAGAGTCATTGGACGTGCTAGCAAATGGTGTCCGCCCCGATAGCATTATATAAAGCAGCACGCCCAACGACCAAATGTCACAAGCCAAATCATATCCCTGCCTTTTCAGTACTTCCGGTGCTACAAAGTTGGCTGTGTAGCAGGGTGTCATAAGCAGGCCGTTGTCGGCGCGCAGTTGCTTCGCGAAGCCTGCAAATATATATATATATATGATTTTTTACTATGCTGACATGTTTCTCTTTTGTCAATAGTTTTATCTATTTTATCTATCCATTTTATCATCAAAGTCAGGTACCGTTTAAAATTACAGCTTTTCCTTTAAAGATTTTAGCTTGATGAGAATATGACAAGGATAAAGCATTAAACGAATTCTAATTAATATAAATTGTATCTGAGTATAGAAACGGGACGTTACAACTATGTTCTACTTAGTCCGTATCCTCGATAGTATCAAGACTTACCTAAATCACAGAGCTTAAGCGTTTCGGGCGTTTGTCGCATGCTTGCGTAGATCATATTCGAGGGTTTCAGATCTCGGTGCACGACTCCGTGCTCGTGCAAATAAGCGACTGCAGCGGCAATCGTACGTAAGACTGCACTAGCCTCACTCTCGCACATTTGCTCAACTGCCAGGATGCGATCGAGCAGTTCGCCGCCTTTGAGCAGCTCCATCACTAAATACGCAGAGCTGGCATCTTCGTACACTGAATATAGTGTCACAATATTCGGATGATTACCGTAGCGCAGCATTATCTCTACCTCCTCCCAGCAATCCGATGTAGAAGAGGAGGCTGCAGCAACAGCCGCCTTTTCAATGATCTTCACAGCGTAGTGTTTTTTGGAAGCGCGATGCTCGCACAGGCGACACACAGAGAACGTGCCACGTCCCAATTCATGCAGCAAATTATATTCGGACAAGAAATTACCAGGTAGGACACCAGGTAAGCTGCGTGGCCCTGGTGTCGCCACCAAAGACGGTACTGAGGCGGCCGGTAGAGTAGCGTGCATGGGACTAACATTATTGGAGCAGCTGATGTTAGCATTATTCTCTAGTAGGATGGGTGCCACGAAGCTAAAGCCACGAAATATTTCGTGTGCAGATGCAGATATTGGACCACCTGGCGAATCCCGTGGCGACTTGGAAGTGTACTCCACATCAAAGTAGAAGGCATCATCACGACTAACTGCCGGTATAAATGGAGGGCGCACCAGTTTACGTTCCAGACGTACCCAATCAATGGTGGAAAAAAAACCATGCGCTTTAATGTCTAAAATGCCTTGCGCGCCAGCGCCCAATCGATTTAACGGGTTGCGTTTGAAGAGCGCACGCAGCAACGACTGTGCTTCTGGTGACAGATTCTCGGGCATGCCTAACTTGGAGCGTAATATCTGATTCATCGTCTCTTGGCGTGTCTGTCCATGAAAAGGCAGATTCCCGGTCAGCATTTCGTACATAAGGACACCGAATGACCACCAGTCGGCAGCAAAGTCATGACCCTTGCGATTTACAATCTCGGGAGCCATGTATTCAACGGTGCCACAAAAACTATACGTCTTAGAGCCATCTAGCGGCTGCTTAGACAAACCAAAGTCAGTCAAAGCAATGTGTCCATGTTCATCGAGGAGAATGTTTTCTGGTTTCAAGTCGCGATAGATGATCCCGAGAGTGTGCAGATGATTGAGCGCTAATGCCAGCTCTGCCAGATAGAACTTCACATCTTCCTCAGTGAACATGACTTCCTTAGAGAGTCGTGTAAATAAATCACCTCCGCGTAGAAAATCCAGTATTAAATACAATTTACCAGGTGTTTGGAATGCATAGTGTAAGCGCACGATAAATGCGTGTCCCACATCAGCAAGAATTTTTCGCTCGTTGGTGCTGCGCACGCGATCCTTAATTTTAAGTGTGGCCTTCTTTAAAACCTTCATGGCGTACAGAGTGCCCGCATCTTTTCCTAGAATCTTGCGCACCAAAAACACTTTGCCAAAGCTGCCCTCACCAAGTACGCGCAACAGCTCAAATTGAGAAGGATCCGCCTTATCGTGACCCTCTTTTACCACTTCGCGCAATTCGAATTCATTATAGCTTGCTGCACCATACGATTCCGAGTCGCTTAGCTCCATCTGCTCGGAGACTTTGCTTGGTGTTATATGATGTTGTTCGAGTGCTGTTTGCAGTTGCTGTTGTTGTTGCTGATGTTGTTGCCGACGCTGAGATGACGTCACTGTTGTCACGGCGCCGCTCTCCTCATCGGTGGGCGTGTGCTCCATTGGTGTCACCGCAAGACTACTGCAACTAGAAGAGGTAATTTGCATACGTTGCCACAGTTGCAGGCCCATCGTTGTTGTTGCCGCTGCCCTTGCTGTATTTGTTGCCGTTGTTGCAGCTGCAGCACTGGCATTATCCAACCGAGCTTGCTCAGCATCGTTGCTATTGCTAATTCTGCTGATGTTGGCTTCCACTTGCTGTTGCTGCTGCTGTAGGTGTCTCAGATCTCTATTAGAGTCAGCCAGTGGCATGACTGTTGCTGCCTTGTTGGTGTTCAATTGTACGTACACGTTTGTGAGCGTTTTGATGCTTTTAATTTGACCAAACTGCAGCTTTTTGTATTACTGTTGATGTTATGTCTAAACAACAGGCGCGTTAAATTGGGAAAGCAGAGGCATTAGTGTTGCGCTGCTCCCTCCTGCTCCATTTCTGCTTACGCTTTTCACGTATTATTTTCCTTTTCTTCTTCCTCTATAAGAAAAAACACTTGCTAGTGATGTGAAATAACATCGCTTCATTATTGCATCTTACCGATTGCATAACGATTAGTCCTAACAATAGATATCGATAAGCATCGAAAATATAGTTTAAGGGGGGTATCAACAGACGAATTTGCTACACTAACTATAGAGCCAGTGTTGCCGTTTTGGCTTATTTTCGTCCAGATCTGGCTTATTCTCAAGTGCGATTGCGGAAAAATTTGTGGAATTATGGACAGCGGAAAATCTGGCTTATTTAAGAATCGAATTAGCTAACATTTATTTTGTCACTAAGCTGAGAACACATAGACTAGACATGTAGAACAAACTTTTTCAACACCGAAAAAATGCGCTGAAGAGATC